CCCCGCGCTGTAATGAGGTGAATGGCGGCCTCGCGTGGTTCCCCTCATGAAATACGGCGCTCACCCTCGAAGGTGAGATTAGCGGTGCCGCGGCTACAGGTATGCTGGGGGGATACCGCCCCAGGCCTGCGCGGGGGGCACAGGCTCAGGGCCAAACTCACGCATTTGCCTGGCCCAGAGGCTTTTCCCCTTTTCTGGAAAAAAAAAAAAAAAAGAAAAAAAAGTGAAATCTGGGGCTATTCCCCCACAACTCCCTGGAGTTTCCACTCCTGAGTGACAGCACGTGGACACCTGCACGGGCACAGGACACCCTGGCCATCAATACTATCAGCTCCTGGAAACCATCAGTGCATAACCCAGAAGGAAAAACGTCATTTACAATCACTTAAAAACACTTTTACTATTTTGAAGTTCCAAATCTTGCCTTCAATTACCCACACATCACATCTCCTGGGAAGATGTGGTGCATGTGGGTTGCAGGGCCTCTGGCTTCTCCACCAGCTGCCATATTGACCCCATCCTAAGACCTGAAAATAAGATTTTCCTCCAACAGTCAAAACCTGATCCAATTTTTTTTGCAGCTAAAATAAAAACGCAGTGAACTGCCACAGAACTAAGTCTATAGGGGAAAAAAAAAGATAGAAAACAACACAGCGCGTAACACAAAGTTCCTGGCGCTGGGTATCTGCTGCCATTTCTTGTGCCGCGGACGGACCCAGCCAGGCAGCGCCAGGCACAGCCAACACTGGTTTCTCCTGGAGCACTCGCAAGCCAGGCTGGGGAGCAGCAGCACTGAACACACCCTGCACGGCAAAGACCTTTGGGAACAAACAAGAAGTCACCTACAGAGTGACATTCAAACCAGCTTTAAACCTTCGCTTTATATTTACAAGGCAAACAGCACTGCTGCTTTTAAAGGATCTTTTTTGTATTAAGAGGGTGAAAGAATATGTAAAAGCAAGTTTATTTTCTTACTAAAAAACGCCAACCATGGAAGCTCATGTTCTTATAAAAGAAGTTTTATAACTGAAAATAAGTTATATACAAGATTTTACTGACCAAAGAGTTCACAATCACCTGCAAACTGATTCGCTACGAGATCACAAGAAAAGCTTTGTAGGTAACACCAGCACGTGAAGGCAGTGACTGTCCCCAACTCCGTTTCAGGTCATTGACACAAAATCCTTTATTAGGGGAAAATCGGAAAAACCGCCAAGACTTCAGTCCACATCCATTAGTATCGCCTATTCATCTTCTTGAATTTCTCATAGTGGTAATCATCTGTCGCTTTTTCATTGAGTGGACGTTTGCGATTTGGAGGAGACCCTTCAAAAGAAAAAAGAAGGAAATATTATTTCCTGTGCTTTCACAGGAGACATTTCCTTAACGCCACCACTTCCCCTACACACTTGCTATGTGAAAGGTTAGCTTAGCTGTCAATGCTCCCCAAACTCGCTCCCCTTGCTATTCCAGCTTTCATCAAACCCTTCTCAGCCAGCTTTGGCAACACGTTTTGGGTGTGACCTTTGCTACCCCACCCTTGGGCATCTCTGTAAAGACATCCTCCATCCAGAGGGCTTCACGTGTGACCTCGTAGGGGTATATCAAGTGGAAGAGCCTCTCACGGACTTAGGTTGCTCCGTTTCCCCAGTACCTCAGGGCACCCAGAGAAGAGGAGGTAAGAAGAGCTGATCGTTTCTCTGTGCAAGACCCCTGAAGTCTCACTGTCTCTCCTTTGGACATTCCAAAGTAGGAACTTACGCTCAGGTTCTGGCCTCTCTGTATCCCCCACTCTCAGTGGACGGGGCTTTGGCTCTTCTTTGTTCCTTCGCACCGGTGCATTTAGCTCCTCATGATAAACTGAAAGAAGGAAAACATCAGATAAGGAATATTATGTGGAGCAGTGTTATTCAGATGGATGAATTTCTGTGGCATTTGTTACAATCAATCTTCAGCTGAAACAACACAACCTCAGAACAAGCATTCTTGTAACTGGTTTCTATGGATAACCAATACACGCAAGATGGGAGACAGCAAATTTCAGTAGCATTATTTCATCAGAAGTGGCCCAAAGACTCTCCATTTCCTTCAGAACACACAAATCTGACTCCAAATCACCCCTGTAAGCGTGGTTAGACACAGCAGAAGGCTGCCTTTCCTCCAGATGGCTGCGGTATGAGAGGCTCTTGCGGAAATTAATTCCCATCTCCTGTCTAGTAAGGTCTATGTTCGCTTGACCACCTGTCTGCTTTGGCAGCCTACAAAATGGATTCTCTCAATCATAAACCATCATTTAAACCTGCAGACGAGGCAGGCATTTCCACCGCACACTCAAGACACAACTTAAAGAAAAAAAAAAAGTCGTGAAATTTATGAGGCAGTGTCAGCTGGGAGTTCAAGAGCAGAAAGTCAAGCCGTGAGTGATGTGTCCCTCTCCTTGCTGACGGATGGAAGAAAAAGACCAAGCCAGATGGGGTCTATATGAGCATCCCAGACAAAGGAACCAGACAGCTGCTTGTGCTGATACATGAACTCATTTCTCCCGCATCACTGTCCCAACTGACTGCTTTTCTGCAGCAGAGGAGAGGGTCACACCTCGGTCAGGAGAGCTCTGCGAGACTTACATCTGTTGTGCTGCACATAGTTAACAGCCATGTTGGTGGGAACAAAGGAAGTTTCGCTGTCTTTCTTCTTGTTCTGCTGCTCTGCCAGCAGCTTGGCCTTGGCCTCTTCCGTTGAGATGATGTTTTTTATTTTTGCGCTAGATGAAGAACAAAGAAAAAAAATATTCAGAAAGGGTAGTAGGCACAGAAGCGCTAAGTGGAGGGATTTGGGGGACAGTAATAGCACTGCTATGGTATTTGGTGTGTTTTATGAGAGAAGAGGCAGTGCTATAGTTTCAAAGGCAAAAGGGAAGCTCACTTCTTTAGCGCACCCTCTTTCAGTACAGGGCATAAGCTATTCCTGCGGAAAGCTGCTAGATTCAAATCACAAAAATGAAGAGCCTTTTCCCAGAAGTCATAGGATGGAGCTGCCCCGGAGCCCTATCACGGTGTAGAACACGCTGCGCTAGATACCACTCTCATCCAGAACAAGGCCCAATCCCATCACAGAGCCAAACTGGGGCTGTATAATCCAGCCAAACCACTGCTCTGCCAATCAACAGTTGTTCATCCTGGACATAACCAACTCATCTGTGAATGACATACTCGATTCCCAGATCCACTT